AACACAGCTTCAATTTTCAATGACGCGAAGCTGATGCCACAATGATGCGATGCTGAGGCGACAATGAAGCCATGCGTAGGCGACAATGATGCCACAAAAGCCAAAGCTTCCGCGAGAACTATACTGTACATACTATTCTTATAAATATTCATGTTCAAGGGCCATAATCATGATCTTTTAGTAGATGAAAGTAAACTCTTTTTTTACAAGTTTTATCGAATTGTTAATACTGGTATAATATAATAGCAATAACCCCCGCCGAAGTTGGATATACCACTTGATATTGCACAATTCACTCCATATATGCACTCGCCTGCGGCTCGTGCATATATATCGTGAATTGTGCAATATCTCGTGGTATACTCGCCTTCGGCGGGGGTTATTGCTTAAGTATAGTATAGTATAGTATATTTTATTTGACTCAAATTAATGAATTGGGAATACATTAACCATGGTCAATAATCAAAAACAACAACAACACAATAACAAGAAATACAGATATAAAAAATACAATAAAATGTTAAAACAGATAACACTAACAACTATTAGGTTTTACATTGTAAAATTGTGTTAATAAACATTCCTAGACTATTGGTAATGAAACTGTCTTTTATTCCCATAATATGCACAAACATATCTTCTTTTGGTAATTTTAAAATATTATCATTGTATAATGATAGAGTATTCCAAAAGTAGCTACGTGCCTTTACAATTTCATCCAGTTTGCAGTCAAAAAGAGCATGCATTTCATCACTAACAGACTGATCAGAACACAGTGTGCACAATCTTTGCTCTGAGGGTATTTTTTGGTATCTTAATTTTTCAATTGGTAATTTATGTGCTGAAATTCTAAATTTGGTTACACTTACTCTGTGATTTAAATTATACAGATTTTACGGTAATCGAGTTATTTCAAGTAGTTTGCTAACAAAGTTTGCCCATGAATTACTATTGATTGTACACTCTGACTGATAAGCACAGTGCACTATATTACTGCATTCGTTATTTTTTACTTTTAACCAAAACTTGTACATTTGGGTACAAATTTCAGTAATTAGGGGATAACTACCAAGCTCTGCTCTAACAGCAATATTACTTGCTCTTTTGTGAACACCAAGTAGTTGTTTGCAGAATTTGATGTGGATTGATTCAATTTTTGAGCTATCACTAAATAATTTCTGAATAAATAATTCAGGGGTGTTATTAGGTTTAAAATTAAAAGCTGCCCAAATTTTCGAGCCGTATAGTAGAATAGGCATAACAGAACTACAAAATAGTTTAATTGCATTAATTGGTGAGGCAATAATGTTGTTTAATAGCAGAGTTTGTTTTAGGACCCCTAGTGCTCGCTGTGCTTTCTTT